TTTTTTGTTTTCAAAATCAAACAAGGAAATGTGAAAACTTGAATGTGGGAAAAATATGGATTGTATATGATTCTATTCGAAAATCGAATAATTTAATTTCATTATTGGGATCGACTAGCACTATAAAATCTTTCATCAAATATATTAGCAATGGAAGAGTTATTACTGATTTTATACAAGGCACTATATTCACAACATTGACTTTAACTAGTTTGAAAAACAAATGATGTTAATTTCGCATCAATACCTGCAATGAAGATTTTATAAGAAAGATTTAAGTAGTTGCAAAGGAGTCCCCAATAGAGAATTTACATTTTATTGTTTGTATGATGCAACTCAGACTAAATTGAGAAAACTGGCAAATCAATTATAGTGATGAATAAGACTGACGTCATAACATAAATTTAAGTAAGTTTTTTTGACGTTTGGAAAAACTATATTCACCTATGAAATATATTGTCATCTGATAGCATCATCGATTTCCACTAACATAAGCAAGTGATTGTGACTACATGATTTTTATTTAAAGAAAGGTTTTATTCGATTTGAAGTTTAAATTTACTTTGAATACATCGACTATTATTGCCTAATTATCATGAAACTGATTTCTCATACATACGTACTAGTGAATTTAAGTTTAAATTAAAGTACACGTGCGATGCAGTTTTGTCGTAGGATGGCGAATGCAAAAAACAAAATAATTATATGTGTTGACAATAATAGCTTTCAGAAGACTACATGCGGTATTTTTCGTTCTATGAGTCCTTCATGTAGAAAATGAAAAATAAATATGCGTAGAAGTGTTGTGTGATGTTTGACAAGAGAAAAATATATAATGAGAGTGTTTTTTTTTGTCCAGTCTCGATGTTGGAAGTAAACTCAAATAATTCCATTGTGAAGGACTCAATAATAAAAATATATAAATAGATCTACGTAGTTTTTTTAATCTTTGTAAACGCGGCTTTAGGTACTAAAATAATGAGAAAACTAATGCATTGAAGATTATAGGTGTGTGTGTCAGTCTCAGTGAAGAGAAGTCTAACACCTACACCCTCTTTTCCAAAAAAATATGAAGCTTATTAAGTGAATGATTTCATTTGGGTGAGAATTTTCATATAAATCTATGCTACCAAGTGTCGTCTTTATTATAGCACAAATCAAAATACTTGAAAGAGCGCTGGTACTTAAAGGATTAATAAATTGTCTTACGAAATGACTTAACTATGTTAATATAATCAATAGAAATAGCATTGTGCACTATTCTCGCTACAAATTGTCAAACTTGTAGTAGCCAAATAACAACTGATGCTTTAATAACTTGCACGTAAAGAAAAAATTGAAAGAAGACAAAAAGCTTCTTTGTTCGGTTTCTATCAACATACAATTTATCGGCTCGTCTATTCTTTCTTTTTATGTTTCTTTCCATGCACAGTTCGAAAAAAAACTCTTATCATTGGCAATGACAAAAGGAGTGTCAACATTAGAGTCCTCGCTATGGACTTTTTACAAATTGTCATCAAGAGAAATTCAAAAGACCGCGATTATAATCATACCAGCTGAGGTTTCATCGTTCCTGTCAACGAAACTGTCATGGAATGGATCGGTTCCGATTAGAATTGACTTATCAATGCATCTCTCTTTCTTCCCTTTTACTATTTCTGTTCTGAAGCTCAGAAGCTGCAGCACTGATTTATATTTAATTTCTTTTTCTGTGTTAACACATTTGTCGGACGAATCTTGAATTATCCGTTAATTGACAATAATCGATATTTTCAAATTGTCAATTCTACCTTATTAACATATTAATGACAAATGAAAGAGTTGTTCGTGTCTCCTTTTCTGTCTCGTATGAATCTTTTATCTATACTGAAGTTCAAAAAAACAATTGATGGCATTTGACTTCTCTGTATTGTAAATAAAACAATTTTGGTGTCAGTCAATTGATCTTCAGTGAACTGATAAAATCTTCTTTGACATTCGAATCTGATCACAACAACAGATATTTGCTTCTTACTGTTGACCTCCATCTAATTCTCCTTGTTTAACAGCAAATCTTCAAGGTTTGTTGTCATGGCGCAACTAATCAATGATATACAATGATCATTTTGCTTGTCTTTTCAAAGACAAATCAAGGCGACGTTTTATTTGAAGTTTAAACAACCGAACTTTTTTCATCGATCTCTTCGACACAAACATTTTTGGGATACGTGTGTGTGTGAGAGTGTGAGTCTTCTCTTCTAGCATACCTAGACCCACACCCAAAAAAGTGGAAAATGCCACTTTGGAACTCTTGGCGTTTCAGAACAACTTTTCAGATACAAGGTCAGAAATTTTTTCCTGATCGTTCAGGATCAATATAGATATGTCTCTGCTATCGATTATACGTCCTAAACCTGTAAAATAAGAACTACGTGATCATAACCAACTGAAGTTTACCAGAAACGTTTTGAAAAACTTCTGTAAAAACTTTTGGTGTAAATTGTTTTTTACATGATCAAATGTCCCAAAGTCTACTCTTTCAAACAATGAATATCTCAGTTTGCTGCATTTTGTCATTCTTAAGGTATTGAAAAAGTAATGGGCTACCTTTTTTTTATAAATGGAAAGTAATCGTATGTTCGTCTTTGAAACTTATTAATGGTTTCAAAAAATACTGGGCGTCAACATGCTGATCACTGTAGCACAACATTAAGAAGTTCTTCGATTGTATTTTCTGTTCACATCGAATTACTTGAAAGATGATTATATCACATCCATTCATCTCAATAAAACGAGAAAAATTTTTCTGTGTCAACTGGATAATTTTATTTGCACACAATCACCCAAAGAAAATGAATTACTGCTCTCGATCTGGTGTTAGCTTAATTCGAATAATTGATATAGATTCACCCTTGTATCTTGGATCGACAATTCTTAATTCTTTTCCACCCATTCTATCGATATAGATATGATGTGTCACTTGATTTGTCGATTGTACAATTGCATATTGAAATCCTTGCGTATT